GCTTTCAGCTTTACAGTAATATAAACATACTTATATCTAAAAGTCCCACCATATACCGTTTCTGGAAGCTGAGTTCAGAATCCTTGAAGGATCTTTTCATGAATATCTGAAGAGCTTCTTGTTCACACTGATCGCTCAGCTCTACAAACTCATTGAGTGTCTCTGTTGGGAATTGTCCTCTCTCTCTCATCATCTTCACATAGTGCTCAGTTGCCTCTTGGACAGCTGCTTCATTCTCTGCCTTAGAGATACTCATCACTGCATCCTCCATACACACAACATTGAAAGAAGTGATATCTTCTGTGTACTTATACACTAGCTGTCCCAGCACTATAAATAGAAGAAAAATGAAAGGTATTCAATTCTCCAAGGTCTAAAAAGCCAATGTCCTGTTGTAACTTAGCCCCTATGCATAGCTCCCAACTGTCCCTGATTTCGAGGGACTGTCCCTCATTTGGAACAAAGTCCCTCTGTTCCTCGTTCCTCTCTCATTTGTCCCTCATTTCTGTCTCATCTATATAGTTGTATATTATATATTAAATACACTATTTATCTATCAAATTTATCAAAAAGTGTTTTACATTGCTAAAACCTTTCATCCAATTTATACAATTGCTGCATTTGTAAAACTTGTGACTTTAATCAATCTTTGTACAATTCTCCTTTGGGGGGGGAGCATGGCAGGGGGGTGTCCTATGCCTACATACTTTTGCCAATAGGTGTCCCTTATTCCCATCTCAGACAGTTGGGAGGTATGCCTATGTTTTACATCGGTTGATGAACAGAACTACTTAATTGCCATGTGGACGTCACAGTGCCTAGCGGTGGTGACACACAAACTCATCTTTCTTTATGGGCACCACTGCTTTATTCTTGTAAGGGATTTCCGGCAAGACGAAATGCGCGATCACGCACACGCATGGCGAAGATTGACACCGGACGGCCTATTTTAAGGAGTGTTTCTGCTCATGTTCAGTGCTGACTGGTCTTCAGCTCCCCCGTGTCCTGCTTGTTCCTGTATGATTCCTTTGTTGCTGACCCGGCTTGTTCCTCACCTGACTCTGATTGCTCTCCTGATACTGTTTCCTGACTTCGGCTCTGCTCCTGACCTTGGCTTTTCCTTCTGATTCTGTACCGTGTTGCCCGACTGTTGATGACCCTGGCTATTCCATGACATTGCTCCTGTCTCTTGTCCTCACTACCTGCCTTGCTCTGGTGCACGCCTGGCAATCTGCAAAACCTGCTCTGCCTACTACTACTGTGCCAAGATCAGAGGATCATCAGCCTTCCAAGGTTTTCATCAGCAAGAGCTGCAAACAACAACTACTGGCACTCTTGTTCCTCTGGGTCCTAGACTCCCTCTGTTCCTACTCCAGCGGGGTCAGGACCAGTGACACAAGTGAGGCCAACCTCATCATTTCAGTCTCCCATCAGGTACGTGACAATTCTACATATCTCAAGAAATTAGGGTTTCGGCCTACCGCTTTCTTCCCCACTTCCCCATTCCTCCCTATTGGTCAGTTAGACTGATGACAAGGGTAAGGTATAGCAAGCTGAACTCTTCAGGTTCTTGGATTCCCAAGTTGGCAGAAATCTGAAGCTGTTGGAACACATATTGAGCTGCTTACTCTACAGTCCAGGTGGCAGTTTATATAGGATTAAGGTCACAACAGTTGCTATGAATGACTCAATTAAAATGATAGACATAGGTAGATATACGTACTATTCCCAGTCACTGGGTGAATGTGATCTAAATATTTCACTTCAGCGCTTCTGTAAATATAGTTGCAGAATTCTCGAGTCTGAGTTACAAATTCTGGTCTTAACTCTTCCTCTGACACCTCGTCCATTCTCTGGAGAACACTGTTATTCCCAGAAGGAAGGTCAAACACGAAACATTTACGGGTCCTGAAATACATGCAGATGCATTCTCGGCACAGGTTGCGCTCCTTTATCCTCCTTGAGTTTTCTTGGCTATCATTAGCTTTTCGAGACAAAAAAATAACGAAAAAAACTGATCAATAAGGCCAATTGTCTCATTAACCTCCCTAGCGGTCTGATTATGTCAATATTTCTGTGCTGAAAGCGTAGTACCATTTTTTTGCATGGAAATACAGTTGTGTCCAAAATTATTCAACCCCCAATGCTGTAAAGGGGTTTAGGGACTATAGTGTACATTTGGAATTGTATTCAGAATCAAATCCTACAAGGACGTTGTAACTACCCAAATGCAACTAAAATGACATCAATTGTTTATGTAATACAGTAGTAAATGGTTCTTATGTGGTTTCTTCATTGCCACAATTATTCAACCCCTTAAAGACTACCACTCTGAAGAACAGAGGTTCATACAGGTGCTTTCCATCAGGTATTGAAAACACCTGTGGATGTCACCGAGCAGCAATCAAGCATAATAAGCACCAATTAGGCAGCTTTAAAATGACTGTGATACTCAGCTCCTTCTAGACATTTACTGGTGTGGTTACAAACATGGTGAAGGCAAGAGAATGGTCCAGGAAGACAAGAGAAGAGGTGATTTCTCTTCACAGGAAGGGCAATGGCTATAAGAAGATTGCAAAGATGTTAAACATACCAAGAGACACCTTAGGAAGCATCATTCGCAAATTCAAGGCAAAGGGCACTGTTGAAACGCTACCTGGTCGTGGCAGAAAGAAGATGCTGACTTCGACTGCTGTGCGCTACCTGAAGCGTAGAGTGGAGAGGAAAGTCCCCGTGTGACTGCTGAGGAACTGAGAAAAGATTTGTCAGATGTGGGTACAGAAGTTTCAGCCCAGACAATAAGACGCACACTGCGTAATGAAGGCCTCCGTGCCAGAACTCCCAGGCGTACCCCCCTTGCTGTCTCCAAAGAATAAGAAGAGTCGACTGCAGTATGCCAAAAGCCATGTGGACAAACCACAAAAGTTGTGGGATAGTGTTCTGTGGACTGATGAAACAAAATTAGAACTGTTTGGGCCCATGGATCAACGCTATGTTTGGAGGAGGAAGAACAAGGCCTATGATGAAAAGAACACCTTGCCTACTGTGAAGCATGGTGGAGGGTCAATCATGCTTTGGGGCTGTTTTGCTTCTGCAGGTACAGGGAAGCTTCAGCGTGTGCAAGGTACCATGAATTCTCTTCAGTACCAGGAGATATTGGATGGAAACGTGATGCAGTCCGTCACACACCTGAGGCTTGGGAGACGTTGGACCTTTCAACAGGACAATGATCCCAAGCATACCTCCAAGTCCACTAGAGCATGGTTGCAGAGGAAAGGCTGGAACATTTTGGAGTGGCCATCGCAGTCACCAGACTTAAATCCGATTGAGAACCTCTGGTGGGACTTAAAGAAAGCAGTTGCAGTGCGCAAGCCTAAGAATGTGACTGAACTGGAGGCCTTTGCCCATGAAGAATGGGCGAAGATACCCGTAAGATCGCTGCAAGAACTTGTGTCAAGCTATGCTTCACGTTTAAAAGCTGTTATAACTGTAAAAGGATGCTGTACTAAGTACTAAGATTGAATGTCACTTGGGGGTTGAATAAAAACTGATAATGCTGTGAGCACAGAAAAGACATTTGTGGTTATTTCATTATAACTGTTATGTTATATTTGTCTGACCTACAAGTGCCTCTTTAATGTAAATGTAAGCAATGATGACTGAATGATCAAAAGCAATGTCAAAACTGGCCAAAACACTCAATTTCAGTGGGGGTTTGAATAATTTTGGACACAACTGTATGTTTTTTTTTATTGTAGGCCTGTAATTTTTAGGAATAACTCACTGAAATCTGTCCAAACAAGAGTCTAGTAAACATCCCGGGGATGATAACATTTGAAACACAAAATCATAAATTATAATTTAATAAATAATCATAAAAAATAATAATACAATAATAAATTTAATTCAATAATATAATCAAACCAAAAACACTGAAATGTGAAATAGAGCGCCAAGTTCGCACATCGCTGAGCTCAGTCGCAGAATCGTTTTCAGTGTTTGATGAGGAATTTCCCCCACCAATCATTATCACTCAATTCTGCAAGTGGTTCTGATTTACTATCGCTGTTCTCTAGCCGGTCTAAAACCAGTTTCAACCTAAAGGGACGCTTTTTGGACGCCATGGACGTTTCTCAGTTTCCAGGCAGAAAGAACAGTAATAATGCAGGCAGGGCGCCGGACAAAGCACTCGGGACAAAATGTATGTGAAATGGTTTGATACAGGAATGGTTATACTATGTGATTTTAGTGTAGTAGTGAATGTCACTTTTTTTAAATTTCCCGCCGTTCCGTCCCCCATACGTCCCGCCGCTCGCAGGGACCGGAACCCGGAAGACGGATCCCGGCATGGGCCGGAGGAGATGGCTGGGAACGCTGCAGGGGACATATCGCTGGAGCACAGGACAAGGTAAGTGATCGAGGGAATCCCAGAGCAACGCTGCAGGGTAATCCCGAATGTAGCTCGGGGTTACTGCTTTTGGCACTGATAATTAACCCCAAGCTACACTCGGGAATACCGCCAGGGAGGTTTAAGGATCAATATGGGGCCTTGGAAGGTGGGTGAAGCAAAGGTAGACCTTAAGCAGAAAAGTAACGATTTTAACAGGCCTGTAACCAGAGAATTGTTGGCCTATCAGATGCAGCTACTGTTTGGGTATTCTGACAGTCTGTTGGGTTTGGCTCTGTTTGTTAAAAAATACATTGATCTCCAAGTCAGTGCTGATGCTTGTAAGAAAACAAAGCCATGAGGTTTTCGTTTACAAGTTAATTTTTTCCCAAGAAGTCTACATTGTAAATTTGAGGCTAATTTCAACAAAATAACCACAAAATCAAAAACTGTAATTGCACTGCAAATCATTTTTTTCAAAATTTCTCCACTCTTCCCTGGAAATAACTCACTCTTCTGTAGTCTCAGTGCGAACGCCAAATACTCGTCCTCAGTGATGTCCTCTCCGTTATACTCCAGCTTTAAAGTGAAGTCCCTCACAGCCCAGATGAAGATGGGAAAGTGTCTGGAGAACTCACCCTCCTCGTCATCGTTATTTGTGGACTTTACTTTAATGAAATGAGCCAATTCACCTACAAACCTGTTGGAATCAATGCTAAAAGTTATATTTTGTGAGTAAAAGTTGCTCTTGTATTTATAATTTTAAGTTATTTTGCTGGCGACTGGTCTGGTGCTCAATGTGAGGGTTACAATCTCTCGTATAACATGTAATGTATCCACAAACATTTTGCTACAAAGTTTTACATATGTTTATCAAGCTTGAGTGCATTAAGTACATTTAGTTATAGTTTTGCTTTTGTTGGATTCTTCCTATGTTCACTGTAATGTTTGCTTCTGCCTGTTCTTCTGGAGTGTCTCTAGTAATAGAGCAAAAAGATGCAATAGATCTAAATTATGAATATTTGTGTCTCTCTGGTAAACCACTAAGAGGTTTATTGCCATTGGTTCATGCCCGGGAAAGATATAAATATTTAGGGTGACCTTCCATAAAGGTCTTTGTCCTTCTAGACTTGTGCTGAAGGGGTGTGTTTCCCAGGCCTTCTGCCTGAGGAAGGTTGTTGCCGAAAGTGGGGACTGAGCCTGGGTTCTAAAAGGCTTACACCAGGGGTGTCCAAACTTTTTTCAAAGAGGGCCAGATTGGATGAAGTGAACATGGTGGAGGGCCGAACATTTTTCCGAACATTCTTTGAACCATTACAATTAAATGCAAATAAATTATTTTATGCCAAGTTAATTGCAAACGACATACTTTTCATTTCATAACATTAAGATCAACTGACAGCTGAGTTTTCACAATGTATTGAAAATAAATTAAAAAAAAACTTACCTGCACTAATGTGAAGGGTGAAAAAGGTAGCTGGAGCTGAAGTCTCTGCTCGGCAGCCGGGAGGGGAAGAGAAACACACTTCACGCTGGAAGCCTGGCCCTGACGTCACCGCCCGCTGTCGCTCCCAGTGCGGCGCAGTCACGCATGCGCACTGCTCTCAAGCAGAAGACTGTCTGCCACAGAAGGGAGGGCCGTGCGACAGCCGCATTTACACAGACCAGGGAGAACGCGCCGCAGTCAGGCATGCGCACTGCCCTCTGCTCTCAAGCAGAAGACTGTCTGCCATAGAAGGGAAGGCCGTGGGAGGGCCACATTACACATAGCAGGGAGGGCTGTTGGAGGGCCGTATTAAACCGACCCCCGGGCCGTAAATGGCCCGCGGGCCTGACTTTGGACATGCCTGGCTTACACTATCCTGCTAGAGGGTACCAGAAGAGTGAATCTGGAGCCATGATGAAGCACCAGGGGAATGAGCTTTGGTGTTAAAGAGTGTCCTGGAGAACAAGCTCCTGGTAGACATTGCAGGAAGTCTGGTTGCTCATCTGTGAAGCTATTTATGCTACCTGAAGTTGCTTAACAGTCTGAAGAGTACAGATTGCCAATCCTGGCTTAAAGTTTCTTATTTCTGTATAGACTGCTGCTAGCAAAAGTGTCTGGATTTGCATTTTTGTAGCTTTTTGTGTATCCTGCACCCTATGCCTCTCTCCTAGAGTTCATGTCTCTAAAATGAACTCTGTCTCTGAAATCCACCCCGAGGTTTGAGATGGTAGCCCACCAAGCCACTTGGGGGTCCTACTCATCTGCCCAGGGCTAAAGGAGTGTTTCCCACTAAGACTTTGCACATTAATCTGGATTCAGGGCTCTTCATAATGAAGTGATATCACACATAATACCGAAGTTTTTCTATTGCGTCCTGATCAATGGTCCTTTGACTGTTGTAGATCAAAGCACTGCTCAACAAGACAGATAGACAGAAAATCTTCATGTCGTTTCCCTTGTCTCCCTGTAAAATAAGATTTGCCTGTGTCTATTAAATTGTTTCAGACATGATAAGTACTAACCAACAGTTATCTCCAGTCTTAAAAGGATCAGCCTATCTAAAATGGATCGATGAACTCGTCTGACATTTGGCTACTGTGAAAAGCCTGTCTGACAGAAGCTGTCCTAATGTCCTGTTTCTGTTGAAGGGGTATACTGGAAAACCAGCAGCCAAATCGACATTCAATCAGCACTTGCAGCCAATGGCTGTGAGCACTGGCCAGTGTGGTCTTCCAGGAGGTAAGTCCCTCTGTCAGAACACAATAGCTCAGCGGGGAGATTGCTGTACAAACTTTGCATAGTTAGTAGAGCTAGCTCTTTGCAAGCGCCTCAGTTATTTTTCATCCATCAGCAAAAAAAACCTACCTGTGTGCACCAGGCTTTACTGTACCTTACTCTAGCTATTATGAGGTGTTCCCACCATCCGTTATGGACTTGTATTAATTTTGTATTCTGGCAAAAGTAACCGGAGGTGCCGGAACACACAAAGGTGGATCAGACTTTGTGGGCAAGAACACACAATGATGGACAGGAACACCTCTGGGGGGTAGGAACACACAATGATGGACAGGAACACTTCTTGGGGACAGGAACGGACAAATGTGGACAAGAACACTCCTTGGAGGCAGGGACACACAAAGGTGGACAAGAACACTCTTTGGGGGTGGAACACACAAAGGTGGACAGGAACACTCCATGGGGACAGGAACACACAAAGGTGGACAATAACACTTCTTGGAGGCAGGGACACACAAAGGTGGACAAGAACACTCTGTGGGGGTGGAACACACAAAGGTGGACAGGAACACTCCATGGGGACAGGAACACACAAAGGTGGACAAGAACACTTCTTGGAGGCAGGGACACACAAAGGTGGACAAGAAAACTCTTTGGGGGTAGAACACAAAAAGTTGGACTGGAACACTCCATGGGGACAGGAACACATAAAGGTGGACAAGAACACTTCTTGGAGACAGGAACACATAAAGGTGGACAAGAGAAATCCTTTGGTCTAGGAACACACAGATGTGGACTAGAACATTCCACGGGGGACAGGAACACACATGTGCACAGAAGCACTCCCTGGGGGCAAGAGCACACACAGGTGGAAAGCAACACTTCATAGGGACAGGAAAACATAAAGGTGGACAGGATCAATCCTTGGGTCCAGGAACACACAAATGTGGACTGGAACATCCCATGGGGGCAGGAACACACAAAGGTGTACAGGAACACTCCCTGAGAACAGGAACACACAAAGATGGAAAGAAACACTCTATGAGCTGACCTGATTCCCAGATACCACCCTACCCGTACCCTTCGCTCTTCACAGGACCTCCTTCTATCTTGCTCCCTGGTCTCCTCCTCCCACGCACGACTGCAAGACTTCTCCAGGTCCTCCCCCATCCTCTGGAACTCACTACCCCAACCCATCAGACTGTCACCTTCCCTCCTCACCTTCAGGCGCTCCCTGAAAACCCACCTCTTCAGGGAAGCCTACCCACACCTCACCTAACAGCCGCTGCCCTTCCCTCCTCCTTCCACTCCATCCCCCACAGCCATTTCCTCCTGTACCTCTACCCCCTCCCTCCTAGATTGTAAGCTCGAAAGAGTAGGGCCCTCTTACCCCTTGTGTGCTGTTTGATGTTACTGTACTGTTTCATGTATTGTCCCCCCTCTATTGTACAGCGCTGAGCAAACCCTTTGGCGCTATATAAACTCGATAAATAAATAAAATAAATAATAATGAGGACAGGAAAACACAAAGGAGAACACTCCTTGGGGGTTGAACACACAAAGGTGGACAGGACCAATATTTGGGTCCAGGAACAGACAAGTGTGGACTGGAGCAATCCAAGGGCGCTGGAACACACAAAGGTGGATAGAAGCACTGCTTTTGGGGCAAGAACACCCAAAGATAAACAGGGACACTCCTTGGGGCAAGAACAACCAAAGGTAAAAATGAGCACTTCATGGGGAGAGGAACACACACAGATGGAAAAGAACACTTCATAGGGGCAGGAACACACAAAGGTGTACAGGACCACTCCTTGAGTGAAGGAACACACAAAAGGTGAGTGCCAATATCCCAAGTGAACAGGAACAGAGCCAATAGTTATAGTGGAAAATCTCACTGATGGAGTATCTAAGAAATGTAAGAGGCAATGGGGATGACTTAGTTCACCAGGCTCTGCCGATTACTAAAAGATCACTTTTCTGGTGGACTCGTTAATAAAAATGTCACAATTTTAAAGAATGTAGAGCCTATCTGAACACTCCTGCAACTGCAAACTACTTAGCCAAGGAACAGTTGCATGATGGGGGAACCAAATAGTTGACAAGCATTTTGACCCAAATGAAAGGTATTTTTCTCATTCTGTTTAAACTTATTTAATGAAGATTTTTCTTTCACTATAACTAGAGATGTTTTTTATTACAATAAAAAGATGGAGAATCTTATGAGGCAGATATAAGTACACTCTTATTTCAGGTGATACAGTGGCTAAATGGTTAGCACTTCAATTTGGCAGTACTAGGGTTGTTGTTTCAAATCCCAACTACAGCACCACCTGCTTCGAATTTGCACGTTCTCCCTGTGCCTGTGTGGGTTTCCTCCGGGTGCTCTGGTCCCCTCTCACACTCCAAAGACATGCTGGTAGGTTAATTGGCTCCTGCCTAAATTGGCCCTAGTATGTGTATGAATGTGAGTTAGGAACCTTAGGTTATACGCCCCTTGAAGGCTAGGAACTGATGTGAATGTGCAATATATATATATATATATATAATATATATATATGTGCTGCATAAAATGACAGCACTAATATAAGTACCTGTAACAATAAATAAAATATCAAAAATCATTTGTTAATACTCTCACCTTTATTATATCACCCAGACCTTCTGTGTCCAGCAGGACCAACATGTGATTGCTCTTTGTAGGATGGGGGACACACCACATCCAGATACCCTTTGTCTTTGCTTGCACTGTGGCACCCAGTTCAAAACCTACAGTAATCAGATGTTCAGAAAATAAAAAGAATCCTAGAAGAGTAACAGCAAAAAAAAAGACCAAATGGACCATCAAGACATTTCAGTTGTAGAAGTCATCAATGGCCTTCACTGTTCCATCAGTGCAGCTTTGTGTATTGACCCCTCTGAGCCTGATCTGTTATCTCACCTGTCTGAACTCCAGCCAGTTTGTTCATCAGGTAGGACTTTCCTGTACGGTACATTCCTACAATTGCCACCACCACCACTTGATGCTCTATCCTGGACAGGACGTTTACAGCCTCAGGATTGACTTGGAGAGTACCATCGTCAAGGTTCTCAATGAGACATAATGGAGCCTCCATTCTGATGGCCATCCTTATCTAGATATACAAAGTAACTTGTCTAAAAGGGAAAACAGGCATATTTAGTACATACAGAACACCCTGCATTCACTGACACAACGCACACCAAAGGTTTAGTCAATCCTGCTTGAAAGTAAACTTGATAAAAAACAAAACAAAACAAAATGGAGTATAAAAGACAATTCAATAAAATGTTTAAATGATTGATGATGATGATTATGATTTTTTTTATGTGGGCTTGATAGTCAGCGCAGTTTAGGGATTCCATGCTTTCCACTTCTTCAGGGCCTTGAAATAGAGATGTGCTATTGATATGGAGGTATACTCCCTCTATGGTTTTTTATATCATATTATCTACGACAGAAAAATGCAATAGCGTGTGTTGATGGGGGAATCGAGGGTTGATGGTGGCATCAAGCGATTTTCTTTCCTTCCAAGCTTCCTTAGTCTTCCCCCAGGAGATATTTTTGATTCTACAAAGATTCCATTTGTTTCAAGCTCAAGCTTATATAAAAAGTTTCCAATCATGCAACAAGAATTAATCAATAACCGATGATTAATTATCTCTATCTGAAAACCACGTCATTCAGACATTCAAACTTTTGGAGCAACAATGTTACATCTAAGGGTTATCTTGATTGTCTATATCTTTCTGAGTCACTTGAATTTAATAAAAATCTGATTATTTTAGTTTAGGCCCGTCCAAGGCTGACCTTTATCAGTCCGATCTCTCTTTATAAATATTTTGCACAGCTATTGCAGTGGATGTTAATATCAGATTGGGTTATGGTTCCTGGAGATCAAGTTTAGCAATCCAATGTCTGGTACCAAAAAAAGCAACTTCAAATCCTCAAAGAGGACACTACATGAAAATGCAAACCAGTGTTGCATGTTGCTATTTTACCATTTTGTTTCTCTGTTGTGTTTAAAAAAAAAAAAAAAAAAAACCACTATGATTGTTTTTCACAGAAAGAAATAAAAAAATAAATAATGATAATAATGTGAAAAGTAACAAAATACATTATTTATAAAAAAATAACAACAACAATAATATTAATAATAACAAAATAAATAATAATAATAATGTCACAGAGCTGGTCCTTCCTCCCCCCATCCTCTAGGTTTGCTGCCTGCTAACCCCCACTGCTCAGCAGCCCCTCACTCTTCTGCCCCATCCATGCTGGGACTTCTAGTCCTCCGTGTCCCTGATACAGGCAGCCCTCAGCAGCCCCTCACCCCCCTGTCCCTGCCAGTCTGGCCCCCTTTTTTTGGTAAATTTGTAATATATATACAATGTGGCCTTTGTACTGAAACGTTTGGAGACCCCTGGTTCAGTACCTCAGGGATGCCAGCCCTACCCTTCAGCCCTGCAGAATCTGGAAGGAGCCAGTCAGTGTGGACAGCCATTCCTCAGGTGAGCTGATGGAGAGTGTCAGTGGTGGGGAGGTGGATTTGGGGTCCCCTTGAATTCTGCAAAGGTTTGGGCCTTTAAAAGTGGAAGAGCAGGAAGACTGGTCCCCTGAAAAATGGGGTTGGGGGGATACCACTGAGGACAATGAGTCACTGACATAGCTGTCAGGGAGCTCAAGCACCCCAGATTCTGCTGGATCTCCACACAGGACTGAGCCTATTCATGTGCTTCTTCTGCAAAGTCAGAATTTGTCGTACCCTGGTCTAGAACCAGAGCCAGGAACTAATTTCAAAATGTCGATCCGCAGGGCCCCAAACCCCTGCGTTTAGCCAGGAATGGGGAACAAAGACAAGTTACCCAGGTTCTCCAGGTTCCAGAGGGCCATACAGAAGCGAGTGGCCCTGGAGTGGGGATGGGTCTACCCTTACTACCACTAGGACATCATGGACAAAGTGGAAAGCTCCAGACAGCACTGGGAAGATGACTTAGTCTGGGACTAGCTTCATGTTCCCAAACCCTTGCAGGGCCCTAATCATTCTAAGGCCTGGGGTCAATTCCAGGACATAAAACAAGAATGGAGCAGGGACCGAGCCTTTTATAAGGACAGGGTGGTGGTCATGGGAGGAGGCAGGTCCAACATGACCTACTCCATTACTGCCCAGAGGACACATGGCTCCACTGTGAGGTTGCCCAGCCCCAAGCAATACTACTAAGGGTTGACGCAGTATCCCAAACTGGTAGGCCCTGCTACCTATTTTTTTTATCGACTAAGCAGGATTACCTTTTGCTGTCCCAGATAGGTTGGTCTGGGAGTACTACAGAAGACCACTTAGTCCTTACCACCTCTTTGGGAGGGGCTCCTCCCCAAAATTTATGCTGAAATGTCTTACCAGTTAGTCAGTAAGTGTTAGGGTTGCATTATGTTTTTTTTGTATTGTGTTCACTGTTTTGCAGGTTCTCCAGATGGCTCTCTCCCTGCTTCAGGGACCAAGAAGATTTTCTTTGTGCCATGAAAGATTTCCCTCGAGGGCAAAGAATTTCATATCATTTGCTGTTGACACTTTTGATACATCTGTATATTTGCTAAATATTTATATATTTTTTTCAATCAAATTATTTATTCTTTAAATATTTTATTCCCCCACCTAAGTTTCTTCCCTTGTCCCCTCCCATTTTTTTTTTTCATATGGGATGCCCCGCTACTGGATTCAGGAACCATTTTTTGTTGTTCCGTCAGCTAGTGAGGACATGGTTAGTAGGGAAAGGGGTGAATGTAGCACAGTTCCCTGACAACTCCCCTTGATCTAGAGACTTGGAGGAGTCTCTAGAACTCAGTGGGTGGGGGTGAGGTGGAACTGGTCTGCACTCTCAAGGGATCCGGACCAATCCACCACAGGAGGTTTGGCATGGGGTCAGGACAGCCCTTAAGAGTGACTGAGCCTGCTCAGCAGCAGGAGGGAGTTCTGGTGAAAGATGGAAGCAGAGGAAGGCTGTGAAGCAGGAGTCTGAATTGGGGCGCTGATGTGGAGGGGGTTCACCTACAGGCAGTGACGCTGGTAAGGAGGAAAGCTCAGGACCCCACCGGCCCCCCAGAGCAAGGACCACCTATCCAGCAGAAGGCCTGAGAGCAACCACCGACCCACCAGCTCATAGATAGAGGACTGAGTGAGTAGACCTACACCCCCTGGGTCAGTAAGGGGAGGGAACCCTCTAGTGGAAAACAGGATTAGCTTTCTAACCAGGATTGTCTTACATTTAAAGTGAGAGGCACTAAATCCCCTGACCAAGGACTCCCTCAGACAGCTGGATAAAGAAGTATCCAGGGTCTGGGGTGGTACACTAGGAGATGCTGGCTAGTTCTCCAAGAAGAGGATCTGTTCTTTTGCTGTTAAAGTGACTTGTACATAGCTCCAGGAAGATTGTCCTCAGTTGGGCATCCCATGCACCTCTCACCCCATTGAAAGTTAAATACCTCTAATAAAACCTAAAAAAACAAGCTTAAGGACCAGTTACTGTCTCCTGGATGTCAAGTCTGTATGTAAAATGCATATATAGGGGGAACCAAATCTTCAGCAAATCCTAAGGGGGTAACGCTACATATCTATGCATGTAAGTGGAGGAAATATTTTTGGTCTTTACTCATTTTTCTTATACAGCGAGGATTTCTGATCACAGAAAGGTCAATGCAGCAGAAAAAAGTAGCAATAATTACAAAAATCAATATAACTGGCCTCCAAAATGGATTTGAAAAATCAGTTGGTTAATCATTTTCTAAGTAGGCGAGCCACCAGGTGAAAGTCCAATAGTAGGTTCTGATTGTGGAAATTTGACTAAAGCACATACAGTATCCTGATGATAAATCTATGCTATACAGACACAGACAGAAGATTCACTTGTAGCAAAACACATCAGAGGACAGAAAAAGGACTCCATAGCAGGGGCGGACTGACAACTCATGGGGCCCCCGGGCAATAGGGGATCATGGGGCCCCTGTGTCCTTGCTCACACTCAAAGTACACCCAAAAAAGCCTATAAAAAGGTAACAGGGGCATTTCATGGGGCCCCCTACTGACCCCGGGCCCTCGGGCAGTGCCAGAGTGCTCAAATGGTCAGTCTGCCCCTGCTCCATAGCCATCAGTGATAGGCAGAGACACTGATCCTTCTATGGTCTGCTTCTATAAATCATCATAAAGGATAAATACCTGCAGGGGAGTCTTGGTCTGCAGAAGATAAAACCATCATCTAGAATTCTGTAGAGTTCTTCGTCTACCAGGAAGGAAATGGTAGGTAGAGGTCACCGCAGCTGCTGTAAGAGAAGTTCTGATTGTCAATCGTGAAATTCTTCAGTCTCCACCCTGCACAACAATCTGAGTGTATTTCCTTATTTGCATGTTTTGTATTGACTGAAACGTTTCATTCATTTTTTTTAAAGGATACATTATTCACACAGTTTGGCACAGCAGATGATGGGATCACAAGTTGACATACAGTGTAATAATCTGTAGCTGGTATGATATAGATGTGTGAATCCAACCAACTAAATCCAACATATATAAAGATAATAGCTTTTATGGCACAATGAGTGTTGTGTGTGCGTACTGATGATGTAATGAGTTCAGCAAAACATCTGCAAGTCTATTTAGAACATCTGGGGTGACTTCTTGCTCTCCTCAGATACTTGATGCAAACCTCCTGCAGTGGTTCTGGGTGAACAGATAGAGAGAGGAAGGGGTGCAATCTAAGGTACTATAAAATGTATTCATTAGAGCAAAAGACAATTGAAAATTTACACAAATGGATAAAAAGGCAGCACAGTGGCTGAGTGGTTAGAATTTCTGCCTGGCAGTGCTAGGGTCATTGGTTCAAATCCCAAACACGGCACCACCTGATTGGAGTTTGCATGTTGTGCCAGCGTGGGTTTCCACCAGGTACTCCAGTTGCCTCCCACACTCTAAACACATGCTGGTAGGTGAATTGGCTCCTGCCTAAATTGTCCCTAGTATGTGTATGTATGAATGTGAGTTAGGGATCTTAGATTGTACACCCCTTGAGGGTTGGGGACCTTAGATTGTACACCCCTTGAGGGTTG